CAATATATACCCATAATGACACACAATACGCTAAAGATATACCAGGCACATGCATCATAGACAAATTGTTTGTGATATGCTGACAAATTATGATAAAGGCAGCGCGTGAAATTGCATATTGGGCTCAATTAGAAACACCTTCAGGTCGATGACCCAGTCAGCTCATACGGTCTCTAATTGAGGGTGTTCACAAATATCTTGACGTGACTCCCATACGACCTTGACTATCTCATCCTTCTAACCACCCGATACTTTGCCGTAATTACCTTCCTCTACTCTCGCTCATGAACAGAGATGCTGAATGCACCAGACTATAGGGTCATGATTATTTTATTAATATCTGTACTCATTGTGTATCAACTGCTTGGCTTACAAAGGAGAACAAATGGCAGTAAATCATTTCAATATCATATTCTACTCAGTATTATAATTCTTTTCAATAATGGAACGCTTTCTGTTTCTAAGTGTCCTTTTGGTCTCAAATGTCAGTATATATATATATATATATATATATATATATATATATATATATATATATATATATATATATATATATAGAGTTTTAAGGTGTGGTATATTTATGGGATAAAGTACTCAATATCAGAGATAGAGCGTATGTAAATATAAATATAAAAAGTGAACATTGAAGTCAACACTCAGAGGCAACAGACTGGCAAATTGCGTCCAGCATGAAACAGTCTGTCGCCTCTGAGTGTTGACTTCAATGTTCACTTTTATATTTATATATATATAGAGAGAGAGAGAGAGATATGTGTGTGTGTATATGTGTGTGCGCGCGCGTGTGTGGTGCAGTTCAATTTATATTACAATGAATCATTCATACAAAAAGTAAATTAGTAAAGTTCATAATATAAAATGGCGAAATCCCTTCGCTAACAAAATTTTCAAGGTGCATTAACCTAACTCGATGAATGTTATGATCCTTGTTTTTTTTTTAAATTATAAGCTGTATAAGGTCTTTCTTAAATGGGCAAGTACTTTCAATCATCTTCATATATATATATATGTGTGTGGTGTGTGTGTATGCATGGATGTATATATATATATATATATATATATATATATATATATATATATATATATATATATATATATATTAAATGAAGGAATACTAACCACTTATGCTAACATGGTTTCCACCGATAATTTTTCGTTCGGCAGTATAGATTAATTGTACTTCTCAACGCCTCTTATATTTATTTGTATATTCTCAATGGCAGGTACGATGAAAGGTGAGGGGCAAAAGAAAGAGTTGAGGGACTGGAAGGAAAACGAAGAATAAATATGTCTTCCTTCCACTTCACGTCCCTCTAATCTTTCACCCCCTGTAAATCCCCTGCGTCCTAGGGGCATTATCATCTTGCTAGGGTTGAAATGATTATACAATATATATATATATATATATATATATATATATATATATATATATATATATATATATATATATAAGTCCATGTTCAGTTTAAATTTTTTATAACTTGCTTATAAAAGATAAATATCGAACAAAAAACCAAAATGGAGATATGTTAAAACATTTTTTAATCAATGTATTCAGTGAACTTCACAAAACCTCTTAACATTTGCAATACAGATGATGGATACGTTGATACTTAACATTTCCTTAAAAATTATGCTGCAGTAAAGTTTTCTTTGGCTGCTTCTTCCTTCAAACAACTCCTTCACCAAAACAATGCCCTCTCAACATTCAGGCATGTTGCCCGCTTATAATCCGAGATGCACAGTCTGTCAGCTCCTTATAGTAATGCCCAACTTTATTATTATTATTATTATTATTTCCTTGGGTTCCTATTGTATACACATTTCATTTCGGATCCCAACCAGAGACCTAAGATCAGAAATGGCTTCATGACATCTTCCAATAATCATTTTTGGTAAAAAAAAAAAAAAAAAACATCAAAATCTATGATCACGCACATTTTACATAGGAAAAGCACTTCGTAATGTACATGTACTTGTGAGTACAATTATTATTATTATTGTTATTATTATTATTATTATTATTATTATTATTATTGTGTGCATTGAGTGCCCACATTTGTGGCAATTATTGGCTTGCACTGGAGATGAAATGTTAGTAAAAATTTCCTCCGTCACCTCACACTATGCTCATTCTTTCAATAACGTTAACGCCCGGGATACTTTCTCAGTTGCCTAGTTCTTATTTCTTGTCCGACCTTTAGATGTGCCACTCAAGTCTCCTTGACTGTCTTATCCTTTAAACAAGAAACAGGCCCTTGACACCCGACTATGATACACCCATATGATTCCTCCACAGTGATGCACAGTGTATCACACTCTAGAGCATGGGTTCTAAACTCGGAGTAATGTCAGGGTTTCAGGAAGGAATCCTTTATTTTTTTTTTATTTATTTACAGAATTTGAAGCAGATGACTGTAATCTTCACCAGAATAAAATCGATTTAAATACCAAGGCCTTTTATTGAACATTTTGCTCATTGAATTACTACACCCTAGCATTCTGTTAAACCTTTTGTTTATTGAAGTATGCTTCAGTTTATTTATTTAATAATTAGTTATGAATTAGAATAAATTACTGTACATGTATTCAAGTTTAAAAATCCATTTAACAAGTTCTATTGCTATTAAATTTGTAAAACTCCTCTATAAAAATAATTCATGTGTATGTAATAATGTTGAAAAGAATGAAGATTTTCAATAATATATGCATATTACTTGTTATGCGACTTTTGAGTCGGACAATCTTGAAAAGGGGGAATGACATTTTGACTTGTGTTGAAAAGGAGTGCTTTGGACAATAATGTTTGAGAACCACTATGTCAATGCGGGTAAAACGGAGTTCATTCTGTCTGAAACAAGATACATCGACAAGCATAAAAAGTCTGAATGGTGAAAACATCAAGCAAGTAGACGACTTCAAATACCTTTGGTAGCTATATTGTCTTCACTGATGTCAACATTAGACTGGGAAAACCCTGAATGAATGAACTGAACAAAATCTGGAAATTAAATCTACCGGACAAACTGAAGAGCTACAGTAGAGTCCGTCCTTGTATATGGTTCCTTAGCTCGGACATTAACAGGCAAACTGGAAAAGCGATTGAACAGTGCTAACACAAGAATGCTTCCAGCAGCACTAAACAAATCCTGGAAAGATCACCCAACAAAGAAAGATCTCTATGACAACATACCTCTCCTCAGCAAATCAATACGCCAACAAAGACTAAGATTTGCTGGTTACTGTTGACGTAGCAAAAAGATAACTAGCGGGAGACGTTCTACTCTGGATACCATCCGATGGAAAAAGAACATAATGTCGATCAAAGAAGATTTACATTGACCATCTGATTGAAGACACGGGATGCAGACTAAATGAGCTTCCAGATGCAATGAGCGACAGGAATGGATGGAAGCAACGTTTCATGAAATTCCGAGCTTGCTAAATTTTCATAAATGACTAATTTCTTAGTTCTTCCTCTTGTCTTCGTGCAGTACTAGTGTAATAACTTAATAAAATATATCTTCCTATGTCATTATCATCCAGTCAGTTGAATGCCATACGTGATACACGCTTGGACGATCATGTCTCTTTCGGTTCATGACTGACTAGTAGTTTACCGCGCTAGGCTTCTCGCAGTAGGTTACTGCGCTAGGCTTCTCGCAGTAGGTTACAGCTCTAGGCTTCTCGCAGTAGGTTACCGCGCTAGGCTTCTCGCAGTAGGTTACTGCGCTAGGCATGTCGCAGTAGGTTACAGCTCTAGGCGTCTCGCAGTAAGTTACCGCGCTAGACTTATTGTCGACCAAGGTTATTGGACCCAGTCTGTTCTGCTATTCAACCAATAGCTGAGAGAAGGAGAGAAGAGGTGAGCCCATGCCTTTCCCAAGGGTATTTACGCGTAATGAACCCGACTGGAATTCGAACTCGGCTCTCAGTTTTCTCATCCCAAGCCGTTATCAATTACACCACTCGCACATTTCGGTGCCATTATGCTTTCGTAATTTCTCAAATAAAAAATTTAAAAAATATGAAAATATTCGTCATGTCTTGTGATTTATTGGTGTCGAAACACTAAAATATGATTTGTAATGTCATAATGTGTTAAAAGATTGTCTTCCTGTGGTGCCATTATAACAAATTTTATTATTATTTTCTCAATTAAAATGTAAAAGAAATTAAAGCGTTTCTCTATCGTTTAAGCTCGTATATTTTAAAAGTTGTTGTTTTTGCGATAATTATGTTACCATTATTTTGTAAGAGAATCTGTCCATGTAGTACAATTATATTGTCAAAATTTACATTCCCTTCAAATAAAATTTAATAAATAATAGTAGTAGATAAGTTCGCCTATCACCTTGTTTACACTCCTTCCCCGTGTATTGAACAGGAATAGATGTATATCCCTTGTTTTCTGTTTAGGATTGGGTTTCTGGTTCTTTCTAGTTTTATTCTCTTTCACTTCCAGTAACCCCTTACATTTTAGCGGCATTATCGCCTTGCTTGGGGTGCGATGCTTAAAAAATGAAAATAAAATTACTTATATATTAATGGTCTAGTATTTTTCGAACGAATGGGTCTACATTGCACTTTGGTAGGCTAGATAGGGGTACAGTTTTAGTGCATCACTTTCCATAGATTTGCCTTTGTTGGCCGGCTTAGGGAAATAAAAGAAAGATAATTTTATGGATGCTTAAATTCTGTCCACGTAAATAAATTTGTTCCATAACATAAAATGGTCTTCTAATTTAGGTACTGTTTTCAGCTTAAACGTACAAACATAAAAATAAAAATAGTAGTCATTCAAACCTAAAAGGAACCATAAAAAATGTCGATTACTCGGTCCCTTCATTCGTCCGAAGGAAAGGGATTGGATGAATAATTATTAATATCACTGACGTCATTCTGGTTAGATATCATCTGTCCTTTTGCTGCACAAATCACATTAGAATTGTGTGGCTCATCTCTACGTCATACAGAGTGGTTCATATGGCAACTGGTCGATCGGGCGAGCAAGTGACCTGTACCAAGTTAGAGGCGAGTTTATTAAATATAAGCGAGAAATGAGGAAAAAATGAATAAATTAAAAGGGAAACGAAGACTATGAAAAAATGAATAAATTAAAAGGGGAAGGGGGACAATGAAATAATGAATAAATTAAAAGGGAAGAAAAGAAAAAATATAATAGGCATCTGGCAGTTAAGTGAATTATTTTTTACATATTTTCCTAAGTTTTGAAATTTGAGTGAGAAAAAAGACAAAGAGAAACATGAACAAATTTAAGGAATAACGCAAATAAAGAAGAATAGACAATTAGATATATCGTTGAACAGATAGCTTGCTAAATAGAATAAAACAAATAGAGAGATAGGGAGAGAGAGAGAGAGAGAGAGAGAGAGAGAGAGAGAGATGAACAAACAGTGATAGGTAGCTAGACAGTGATAGACTGAAATATAACAAACTGTGATAGATAGATAGATAGATAGATTGCTTGGTTGCATGCTTATCTCCCGATGTCTATCCAAATGAGAGGACATTAAATATGTTTGAGAAAGGCAGACGATAAAAAAAAAAAAAACAATAAAATTAATTAAGAAAAAAAAGAAGCAAAGATATAAGTTACGAAAATGATGGAAGATAGATATGGGATTTTCCTGTCTAATATTTCAGATATTATTAAATATACGTGAAAAAGAAAGAAAAAAGAAAGGTTATTAAATATAGGTGAAAAAGTAAGGAAAAAGATAGGAAGAAAGAAAAAAGGAAGGTTATTAAATATGGGAAAAAAGAAAGAAGAAAAAAGAAAAAAGAAAGGAAGAAAGAAAAAGAAAGAAAAAGGAAAGGTTATTAAATATATTTGAAAAAGAAAGAATGAAAGAAAGAAGATTGAGTAAGAGATGCCCAAAAGTACCTGGAAAGAGTGCAAATGATTTGTCCCAAACAGACGTTTTCAAATATCTGTGAGAAGAATAAAAAAAAAGTATATACGCTCTCATATATCCACACACACACACATACATATATATATATATATATATATATATATATATATATATATATATATATATATATAAGAATTGATGAATCAATCTAGATAACACGCTTTTTTTCGCAGAAACTATAAAAAAAAAATGGTTTTACTCAGCATAGTTGAGTATAAACCACAGGTTGGCTCGGTGGGTGTTGAACAAACACAAATGTGCGTTAACGAGAGTCTGCAATAGGGATTGGCTAGCCGCCCTAGCAGACGGGTATACTCGAAAACTACTGTCTACTAGGATGAAAGCCAATTTTTTTTTGCAGACTCTCGCTCAGGCACATTTGTGTTTGCTCAACACCCACAGAGCCAACCTGTGATTTATCATTCAACTATGTTTGAGTAGACTATACTGCAACTATACTGATTAGGCCTATATATATATATATATATATATATCAAATATATGGTGCAGTTCAATTTATATTACATGAATCATTCATACAAAAAACAGATTAGTTAAGTTAATGATATAAATGGCGAGAATACATCTTCGCAAACAAATTTATTAAAATTACATTAACCCACGAACCTCTAGATGAATGTTGTGATCCCTATATATATTAAAGTGGTATGTTTTTCTTTAAATTAAATTATTCGCTCTGACTTAACGTTGAGCTCTCCGGATTTCATCCACCTTGGCATAAGCCATACGGATTACCAAAATTTTCATTATATATATATATGTATTTTTATATATATATATATATATATAGTTGTAGAATGGATAAATGAAACGGCCAAATATAAGCAGGTGTGTACGCGTGTGCTGGTGTGCATACGCAGGCAAGCAAATAAATAATCGTTAATTTTATGCATGAGCTGTAAACGTAATAGTACTCAATGCAGTTATACAGAACACACACACACGCACATATATATATATATATATATATATATATATATATATATATACACATCTATATATATATATATATATATATATATTTTTCAATTTTTCTATATTTCTTGAGTATGAGTGCTTAATATCAGACAGAACATTTATAAATATAGACAGTGTAGACATAGAAATCAATATTGCATAGCGACAATCATTTTTATGCTTCAATGCGATCTTCAGGCGACTTCTTCAGACAATACAATGTTAATTCTTGTTCACCCCCCCACACACACACACATACACATACATACAGGGAGGGGTGACAGAGAGAAATAAGAAGATTCAACAAGAATATAAAAGCCATATGAAGAACATAGTGAAAGAAAGACAAAGAAGGAAAATGAAAGATAGAAAAAGAGAGATAGATAGATAGATAGATAGATAGATAGATAGATAGATAGATAGATAGAGAGAGGGAGAGAGAGAGAAAAGCAAAAAAAACGAAACTTGTGAATGGATCCATATGATGCGGTATTAGATTGATCGACTGCATTGCTTCTCTAGTTAGATACTCATCATCCACCATCTCTCCTGTGTGTATGTGTGTACGTGTACTTCTTCTTCTTCTTCTCATTGAGTGGTCACATCAGCAGTAACCGGCGACTTACGTTGGGCTTAAAGCGACAGCAAAGCTCTCGGACTATATCCTTAGTATTCTATCTATTTACAGTAATGTTGTCGTTTTGTTGATTTCCTCCCTTGTTCTAATTTCCACTTCCTCCATTCTTTTACCTAAGCTCTTTGGAACTGTTCCAAGCCTTCAGATAACGACTGACACTACTGTCACCTTCATGTTTTACCACTTCCTCACCTTTCTTGCAAGGTCGAGATATTTAGCGAAATTTCTTTTTTAGGTTCATATTTTTTTTTTTTACTTTCTTTAGAGCAGTGAGAGACTAGCTTTCACATCTATTCTGCCTGAGACCAAAAATATGGCAACATTACTTTATTTTTGGCCTGATCTGGCTCTTATGAAGGTAGATGATAGCATGAGGAGTCAGGTACTTACTGGAGCGGTACAGGGAGCCGATCATTTTACCTGCATCTTTAGCGATGGATCGTATATAAGAATTCCACTTGAGGTCGGGTGTGAGTTTGAGGCTCAATATCCTCTCAAGGCACGGGGCCTCCTCGAGGGGACATCCGTTCATCGTGACTGGCGGTAGTTCGGGGTCTGATCGGCGGTGATGGAATGTAACCAGTTTGGTTTTAGAGGCATTGAATGTAACCAGCCAGTTTTTCCCCACTGGGAAGTTAGTGTTAGATCGGAAGAGAGGTCAGCTGCCAATCTCTGATCGTCAAGACTTTTAGAGGTGCGCCCGTATATCGTCGTATCATCGGCATAGACGTTTACAAATGATCGGAGTATATTCTTAGGTAGATCATTTATGTAAATCAGAAAGAGGGTTGGTTCGGGAAGTGAGCCCTAGGGGACGCCTGCGTTCACCGCCAGGGCCTCGGTGGACTGACCGTTAATAACTAACTTCCAGGATCTACGGAAGGATTTTATAATAGAGAAAACCCTTCCAGTGATTCCATAGCTGGAGAGCTTGTGTAGCAAACCTTTGTTCCACACCTTGTCGAAGGCCTTCGAGATATCTAATGCTATGGTCCTTGCGGTATGTGTGTCGTCAAGGTCCTCACAAATTCTGTGTGTAATGGTAGTTAGGACATCAGCAGTGGATCGGGCTGATCGAAACCCATACTGCTCGTCGCACAAGAGGTTGTTCCTATCCAGGTGCTCGACAACCTTCTTGTTGATTAAGGCCTCAAAAAGCTTACTGATGATACTGAGGAAACTAATACTGGGAGTGGGAGGATCGATTGCACGCGTTCTTGAAGACCGGGCACACGCTTGCCACCTTCCACATACTTGGGAAAGATTTCTCCTTCAAGCAGTGGTTAAATAACTTTGCTAGAATCGGTGATAATTCTGGGTGATATTCTTAAGGACTTAAGGACGACCACTGGAATTTTGTCTGGGCCAGTGGCTTTTTTTTGGGGGTCGAGGGTTTTTTGATAAGTTTAGAGACTTCTCTTGCTGAAATGAGTATATTACTGAGATTGTGCTCAGTGAGATGTGAGAAGTTGGGGAGGGGATGGCCTTTGTCATCTAACGTTGAGTTTGAGGCAAAGATCGAGGATAAGAGCTTCGCCTTGTCTGTCGAGGAGGATATGACCTCAGGGCCATTTATAATAGTGGGCACAGCCGCTTTGACTCTGTTCATAATTTGGTTGGTGATCTTCCAGAATTCGCGAGATCCAATTTGTTTATTTTCAACCTTGGCCTGGACGTAGCTGCACTTTGCGTTTTCCAGAACTCTCTTACAGCGATTGCGGGCGGTTCTGAAAGAATGGCCAGACTACACCGTTCCTTACGATAGATTTTGAATTAGTAGCTCCGGTGAGCTATGTCTGAAGTGCATTCATGGGTGAAGCAGGGCTGACTGATTAGTTTTTGCTGGAATTGAGGGGGGTATAAAACACTCCATTCCAGAAATGATCCATTCGGAGATTAGGGCAGCAGTTTAAGGGCAGCATGTTTGAAGAAGTTTGGTAGAGGAGCTTCCGTCATATAGGACCGAAAGCTGTCCCAGTCTGCCTCCGCATAGCGAAAAACCGTTCTATGGAACGGTAAATCAGGGGATGTCATTGGTTTGGAGTCAATCTGGACAATAAATAAAGAATGACCTGATGTGTCAATGGGGGCCAAACTTTTGCTGAACATTTGTCAGGACAGGATGTTAAAAAAAGAAAGGCCGATGAGGTTCGCCTGCTGTTTCGTCGCATCTGTGATTCGAGTGGATTCTTCAATGATCTGGTTTAGTTCATATGCGATGGAGAAGTCTCTGCAATATCTTCCTTCTCATCGGTTTTTGTTTTGAGGACTAACCATTTTCTTTGTGGGATTGAACATCTTTGAATTCACAAATATTACCGAAAGTTGGCCGATGAGGGCAAAAACGAAGGTGATGGATAATTGTCAATTAAAAAAATTTAATTTTCAATATAACTTGGATTAAAATGGCCGAAATTATGGGCATCCT